GATGATGATGATGATGATGATGATGATGATGGTGCTGATGGCAAAACCACAGCACCCAAATACTCTGGCCAACGGATACAGGGCAACGCTACTGAACGAAGTCGTTGCAGGTTTGGCACGTCGGCGTCTGCCATCACCTATAATACCCCCATCAGCATCACCACACCCAATCTGTACTGCCAGTTATCACCGGCAGCCGAATTCAGTTAGTTGTTCATTTTTACTGTCACCAGAAATGGTCTGTTCATCTCCTTTCAGCACCTACGTTAATTCTGCTGGGTAACGGGCACTTTCTGGTTATGAACCATCAAGAAATTTTGCGACTTCTCATAATTGAATTACTGCCTCATCTTCTTCGTCTGTTAATGGCTACTGTAGAGTCCACTGAACATTGAAGTTTTATTAGTATTGCACTAATGTTATAATAAAACTAAGAAATAGAAATAAAATTGAAAACTAGCTTTGCTGTAAAAGTTTTAGTGTAGTTAGTCTGAAGTTATACACTAGAGATAGACAGTCTTATATTGCAGTGTTTCGCTTAATAAAAAAATCTATCTTCTGTTGTTTATTACAAATAAAAAAACACCTCTTTCCTCCGTGTTTTTTTTTTTTTGCTTCACCTCTTAATCTTCCTAATTATTAAATTTTGTTTACACATTTTTCCCATTATCATAGTCATCTTTATCATTATCTCACCATTATTATTATTATTATTACAGCACAGAAGTTATTAGCTCTTGTTTAATACATTTAGATTCGCTGATACTGAGTACTTCTGATATTTGTGAGAGTTTTTAAAGAAGAAGAACTAATTTTGTTAAAAAACAAAAGAGAGTTAAACACTTTTTTCCTCTTCACTTACTAAGACAACAATTGGATGTATATTCGTTTTTTTTCCTCCTTCTTCGACGTGCATTGTTTTTTGTTCAAATTTTTTTTTTGTCTGCAGAGAACTGTCTCTCAGTAAAGAAAGTAGAAGAAAAGATTTTTATTTCTGAAGAAATAAACTAAGTAAAAGTTTGTTAAAATTCTTTTTTTTTTTTTTTT